CACTGCTGTCATCAGTAATTTTATTAGGAAAGCAGAATGTACAGTTGGGAATCACCCCAAACAAAGAATGAGAGTTAAACAGTTATCAGTTATCTTCATGAACAGTAGCTTAGTAATACAATGGAACCATAAGACACTGGGTATCCGGCCAAAGCGATACATGGTGGCCATTTTTTCTCAACATCCATTCCCAGAAAGAATGTACAGCACAACAAGATCATACCTGTTCTCACAGGATTGTCAAAAGGTATTCTGGGAAATCTAGGATGAAATTGAAAATCGTGGCGACACGTCCAGGGAATAGGCCTAAAACAAAAACAAAAGAAATTGCAACACTTCATCATAACTGTTGGAACTTCTGAAATGCATTAAACATTATAAACTGAAGATATGATACCATGTGAGAGTATCTGAGGGAGGATCTTCTTGTGGTGAGTGGCCAGACTGATGGTCAGATAATGTAAGTTGGCAATTCAACTGGACTCCCAAAAGAAATCTTTGCCTCTTAGGCAGAGACCCATTTTTATCTCTACCATCAAACCATTTGTTTCAGTTAGATGGGAAAATGCACTTAGGAAGAAGAAAGAAACATTTTAGAAGGTGAGTGCTACAGTTAGACTGGCAGAATTGTCCCATTATCAGCCTTGTTACAGTATATTGACTGAATTCAAATTTTTATAATTGAGTGTGCACAAAAACGTGATATTTATATCCCTGTGGTTGTTAATTGCAATAAACGCAAGTACTATTTATAAACTTGTAGATTTCAGTCTTTCCCATAATTCTAAAAAGAACATACTGTATCAGCCTTGATGCCAAGCTCAGTCTTAACTGATCCGTGCATCACCAATGTAAGAACTTCTATTTAACTGTAAGATGTTGATTCTGCACTCTGTAAATGAGCAGCAAACCCCAAGATGCTATCATGTGGAAAATTATTCACTTTGGTTCATTTGATCTGCAGTAGTCCTCCAACCTGTACAATCCATATGGTCATTTGTCTGTTCCCTCTCATATGACCTATAAATGTATCCTCTGAAATAACAATGTATGTATGTCGCATCAGCAAAACACTCACTACATACTGGAATTGAATCCCACTCTCCTGGGGAAATGTCCTGCGTACCAAGTATTTCCACTCTGTACCCCTCTCCTAGCTATGTTTCCTAATTGTTTCTATAGATACGTTTCCAAGCAACGTCATCAACGAGATGGTAATGTATCAGGGGGTTAGAAAACAAAGCAGATTGACTGAGACTATGTGGGAAATAATATGACGAGGCCTCTTGTGCAGTAAACTGCTCGAATTGCTCAAAGGATGGTTGGAAAATGTCAACATCCCAAATGGAAAACATTCCTTCCAACAGAGATTGAAAAAAAATGTGTCTTAAGCAATAAAAAGAGACTGGAGTCTTTATGGCCTCAGTGGTGATGAGAGGAGAGAGGACAACGTGGCTTTACTAGATAAGAGCTTGTACAGTGCTCATTTCATTTCTGTTGTAAGCTAGTTAGCCTTGTACAGGATGTTTAAAGGAAGGCAGAACAGAGCAACTTAAATTTTACAGCATTACCTCCTAAATAAGCTCATATTTGCTTCCCATGCTGTCAAGCTTGACTGGTGTTTGTACTGGACTCACTGGGAGCTGTGATCCTGAGCCTGCTCTCTGCTGCTCCTCTCTGTCTGCACAGTTACTGCTGCTAGATGCACAGCAATGTGAAGACTAATATTAACCTCTTTTCTCTGAGCTTTCTGGCAACGGCTTTATATTTTATAACTTTACTGTTCATGTAAACTGAGTCAGAAAAGGTCAAATCACATCCCATATTGACTAAATACAATACAGGCTTTAATTCATCAAAACTGGCTCATACTGCTTTATAAGGGGCAGGTAAGAAATTTATTAATGTGATTATTAGCTATAGATGCTAACACGTCTATGGAACTGACAGAGCTAACGTCGTATCCTCAAAAATGAATGTCAGTGTACTACCTACTGTAGTATCTGTGTTTATCTACTGTAAGTGTTGTAAAATGTGGCAAGGTGATCTCCCTTTGGAGGTTAATAAAGGGATTTATCTTTTGGTCTATTTATCTGTCTATCTAAATAACATCCATGTTGATAACTGAGGTAACAGTACTTCAGTGAAGACCATACAAGGTCTGTTCTAAAGGATGGTAATCACTGGCTTTGTTCAACTGATTATTGTTTTAAAATGCTGAAAATTTGCAAAAGATAAGAAAACGTAATAATGAACTAGCGCAGGATGCGTGTGCATCTGAGGAATCTTGTCTATTGGTTGTGCCATACTTGCAGTCACTAGAGGTCACCTAACTATAATACTATCGGTTGTAATAATCTGCTGGCACAAACGACATATAGAGATGACATCTTTTACAGGACAGTCTCAACTCTGCAGCAAAAGTTAAAGGAACTGGCAAGTGAAACTTCTGCAGTGTGGCTGTAAGGGTAGGATGGAAGAAGCAGAGCCATGCAACTGTTTATAATATGAGACTTATTTTAGAAGCCTCTAAATCTGTTTTGACAGGTAGTACACCCGTGGGTCGACTGGTGCTGTCCCTGATCCCAACCAGACACAGATAAGAACAGGATGGCAAAACTCCAAAGTAACACTGCCAGAAAGCATCAGTCCTGTATCAGGGCTTGCCTACCATGACACTTACTTAATGGTACATGTGTTCAATTAGGATAAAATGTAGACTCAGAAATGTCGCATGGTTATCTCAACAGAACACATTTTTATCATTTATATTATGTACTTTTGTGTGTGTGAGCATGATGCACTGTTATGAGTAATGTCTCTATGAATTTGATTACAGGGGGGTTCACAATTGATCCCTAATGTGATATTTTTGTCCTATTGAGTGTTTTTAGGATTACTAGTGTCATCCATTTATCCAAGAATGAGATGTATTTTCATGTTGATTGTCATTATTTTCAAAAGCTCTTACATCTTGAGTGGGTGGAAATCTCATCTTGGAACAAGCTAACCTGACAATCTCTTCAGCTGCTGATTGTTATTTTAGTGTCATGTAGCTCACTCACAGAGTGAAGAAAGCTGCTCCAGAGAAAGAGCCATGCAAGTACCAGATGCCCACTAATTTATGATCTGTGCAGCATTCAGGGTGGCAGGAAATTGAATTAGATGAATTAAAGGAAATGAATCTTCTAAATGTTCTGAGGAAATGTGTGTATCCATTTCTGTTGAACATTGAGCTGTGTGCTTTGTGTTTATTTACATGCCCACTAGTGCAGAAGGAATTCTATCATTACCAATCTCCATATTTTGTTCAGGAGGACATATTTATAATAAGATAGCATCCCTTGATCCTGGAGAGGTGGAGAAAGAAATCTTAATAAAAACTATAGTGGATGGCTGGAGATGAGAGGTTGCTACAGTAGAGGAAATCCAATAGTTTAATCCACTCATCCACCCAGGCAGTAACAGTAGGATTACAGCAAAGGCTTTAAAAAAAAGAAGGCAATTATGATAGTACATGGCAATACACTGCCCCAAATTCAATTACCCTCTCTGGTGCTTTTCAATTTTCTTCCATTAAGTGGATTAAGAAGAAAGACATGTTTAAGTTTATAAATGATTAAAAGTCTTGAGAAAGATGAGAGGCAATGAAGAGGAGGTGACTCATTTTTGCTTATGATTAGTCATGGGTGTTTGCTGTAGGAATTTATGTTTGAGGCATTAAATTGATTGCATTCATCATGTGGTGAGAAATGATCCATCAGGCTTGCACAGCTGAGAGTTTTGTTAATTATGTTGTTTTGTTGTTGATGTTTTTTTTTTTTATCTACATCAATTTTTATGTACCAAGTTGGATGTGCTTGTCCTTTACACCTTTAATATTTAATTGTCTTGACACTATCTTGGATCAAGTGATTTAACATAGCATACATGTTAACATACAGTACAGACTGGGATCTAGCTTCCAGCATTCCCTTCAACAAAAAAATTAATGTGACAAGTTGTCACAAAATTTCCTGGCAAGAAAGTTTCGTCATAGCTTAGGCAACCTTGCTGAAGCAACTGTTTTGTGCAGCTTTGCCCCAGAGGTTTCTGTGTATTTTCACAAGGCCCAGAACTCAATAAGAGTTTCTCTGTCAAAAACTGAAGAGGCTCAATATGTCTCCAATGAATAATGAGAAAGTTTCCTTTCATGCCTTTACCCACTGTATAATTTTTCCCATTTCGCCAGTTAAAACTCCAGGCTATAGGAGCTACAGCCAGGTTTATGAAATGTAGTTTCACACTGTGCCAGTTAATTTATGACTAAAATTCAACATTTATACCAAAGGTGTTTTTGTTCAAGCACAGAGGCAGAAATAATCTAATTTTAATAAGCACTGGGTAAGAGGCCTAGGTGGTAGTTGTTACAGATCATACATGTCCGTGCAAATTCTCAGTCATCATTTTTACCATACAGATCATACAGTATCACAAAATCATTTTGATCTTTTTATATGTATTTGTCATCTGACTTTACATGTTGTTCCTACTGCCTATTTGTCATATGTTCTGTACCTTTAAAATATAAATATTAAAGTGTACTGTACTGTACTGTAGATGTGATTAACAATGTTTTTTTGTTTGTTTCTTGTTACTGTTGTGTGTTTTATATTCTGCCATTCATTACAGATCAAACAGATGATACAACAGATAGGCAAAACAGATTGTATCATTTTGTGATATGTCCAGTGACGACGTATAATGTTTTGATAATCTTTGTGCTTTATTGGTACTTTGATTTCATTTTGTATGCATTTCTAAAAAAAAAAAAAAAAGCCTATTCATGTGACAATTTGTATTTAACCAGCTAAAAAACTGTGTTTTAAGGAATAAAAAAATGTTAACTAACTATTTTCTCACAGTGACACAGTATTCAGGTTTCGGTGGACTACTGTATATGAATATCAGAATTTGTCTGTAGGAGGCGCCACATTTTCTGTAAAGGGCATTTTGGCTGTGTCCCTAACGACTTCCCGTCGAGTACGTATCATCCCGGAAGATTTAACTTTCTCCTGACACGTAGCAACCTAGCAACCGCAATCAAGTTGGCAGGGCTTTGGGTGTATTTGCCACGGGTAGGTAGCAGCATTTACCATGCTTGTATAGTTTAAAATGAATTGTTATTTAAGACAGCTTAAATGGAATATTGAAGCTACCGCTGACATTGTGTGCAATGTCTCTAACTGTTATAACTAGCATTAGCTACCCAACTAGCCGCAGGGTTAACGGTATGCCAGCCACCCAAAGATGAGTAATTGCTAGCTTTTGTTTGTTTTGGTGAGATTAGTTATCCTTCAAGATGGTTGCGGTTGTTGAGTCATTTGATTGTTTGATTGTTGTTAAGAATAATAGGCAAACAGCATGCAGTTTTATTTAGGTTTTCTGCGTGAGACTGTCTACGTAACCTGCTTTAGCTCACCACTTTGTAGCTCTGTGTTAAAATTATTATAATTACGTTAGCTGGGCACTAATTATCAGCTAGTGGTAAGTAACGCTACTAACGTTACTGCTCTCCTCAGCTGTCATTTGGAAAATATACGTGCCGTTAAATGTTAGAATGGTTTGTAAAAGACCACAACTTGTATCATGAAGCATTACTTAAAAACGTTGCTAATTTGAGTACGGTTGTAACTTGGTTAAGTTGTAATGAACGATTTGTTGTTTAAAACGTGATGTCACTTACTGATGGGAATGTTAGAAGTCAGTAGTAACTACTGCAGTGGTTTCAAGCTATATCAATTCCGCCTGGCTAAAGTAGAATAGCTATATGTCTAAATAGGGTTTATGATAAATATGACTGTAGATCAAAGTAATAATTCTAGTTGATCGGTTATATTCCTGTTTATGTCACTGTTTTCGTGCCACAGTGAGAGATGTCAGGGTTTGACAACTTCAACACAGACTTTTACCAGTCCAGCTACAGCGTAGATGACCAAAGCCAGGGCGGCTATGGCTACAGCAACACTGAAAATCCCTACAACAAGTGAGTGAAGAATCTGACTGTCCCATAGCTCTTGACAACTGCAAGAGCAATATTGTTATTCATTTATGTGTTATTTCAGATGCTGAAAACTAACCTTTTCTCAAAACATCATCCTTGAAAAGTAACTTGCTGCTCTAAGTTGAAATGGGCACATTTTCAGACCAAAGAGCCCTGATGACCATTATCTGTGTGTTTCCCAGACAATATGGTCAGTACGACTACTCCCAGCCCGTGGGCTACTCTTCGCCAGGTGTGATGCAGCCCCAACAGCCATACACGGGACAAATCTTCCAGCCCACACAGACTTACACGCCATCCCCATCGCAATCCATGTATAGTAACAGCTTCGATGATGAGCCACCGCTGCTAGAAGGTCAGTGAAGCACAGCCTGCAGTCTGTGACCTCCACATACTTGTTTGGCTTTCATACTGTTCTGCTCACTTCTCTCATGATAAATCTCACTCAGTATTGTTAACTGGCCTAATATGGTATAATAAAGTACTGGAATATACCCAATATTGGGAGCTCACATATCTTCAGACACTTACTGCTATGTAAATAAAACAAGTTCTTTGGTGTGACAGCACCAGAAGAGAAATTTGACACACTTAATGCTCCTCATTGTCTTAATCGTAATTGGCTTTTTTGCAGTAAACCATTTGACTTGTCATAGTAACAGAAGGAAAGTTACATAATAACATTAACTTTGGCTCTGTTCTGTTCTGTACTCAGTAAGCTGTCACTGTGAAGTCTGAGTATTTTTGGAAGAAAAGTTTCTTTGTAACTGTAAGGGCCTTGTGTTTATATAGTAAACTACTAGCAAACACTGTATGCAGCTACATCACTGGCAAATTTTTTTCTGTTGTCATAATCTTTTTGAATACAACTATTTGTGTAATTATTTTATAGAATTTATTTCTGTCAGAAATGTTTGATTATGGTTCCAGTATCCAACATTCCTGATGAGTTTTCTCTTTCCTCTGCTTCCTCTTAGAATTAGGAATCAACTTTGACCACATCTGGCAGAAGACACTGACAGTGCTTCACCCAATGAAAGCAGCGGATGGCAGCATCATGAATGAGACAGACCTGGCGGGCCCTATGGTCTTCTGTTTGGCCTTTGGAGCAACACTGCTCCTGGTAAATGATTTGGTTAAGATAGGCAAATAACACATTTATTCTGCAGATTTCACATAAAGCCTGCAAGCTAGGCCAGAATGTGTGCACCTGATGCCTGCAGGGACATGTCTCAGATTTAGAATCTGTAGCATTTTCATGTTCTGTTAAATTACAGTTTTGATCTGAAGACTATTAATCGTTTAGCCCTAGTACAAACATGCTGTACATTGTAACCTGTAGAGCTGTCATATCTGACTTTCTGGATGAATTTTTATGTTTTTCCATTTACAGTCAGGTAAGATCCAGTTTGGCTATGTATATGGTATCAGTGCAATTGGCTGCCTTGGCATGTACTGCCTTCTTAACCTGATGAGTATGACGGGCGTCTCCTTCGGCTGTGTGGCCAGTGTGCTGGGATACTGCCTCCTTCCCATGATCATCCTCTCCAGCTTTGGAGTAATCATCTCTTTACAGTGAGTACACAAGAAAACAGTCATGTTTACTGATGGTGATATAACCTGTAAAGCTTTGATTTTTCAATAACTCACACTGCTAGACACTGTCTAGTAGTACAAACTTTGCACGTAGGGTTTCACTTTACTAGTATAGTGCAACTCGTATATGAGCATGGACTAATAACATCAGCTACATTATGATAAATATTTTCTCATTTTGATTGTTTCAAAAGTGTAAGTTTGTTTATGGCTATAGATCTAATAAAACTGATTTAATGTTGTTTTCCTAAAGTGATATAAATAATCAAAGTTAACTTCTGGTTTCCTCTTTAGGGGCATGATGGGGGTAATAATAACAGCAGCAATCATTGGCTGGTGCAGTTTCTCGGCCTCAAAGATCTTCATCTCAGCATTGGCCATGGATGGACAGCAGCTGCTGGTTGCTTACCCTTGTGCTCTCCTATATGGGGTTTTTGCACTCATCTCTGTCTTCTAAAAAAAAAATCATTTTGTAACAGTTAAAAATAACTGCTCCCAAGTTTCTGTAATTTCAGTCTATCTGGTGTCAGTGTAATGAGTGTAATTATTGGCTAATTACACTGTTATCACAGAGAAATAGGAGCTGCTGTCGAAAATGGCACCAAGGGTTTTTTTTTTCTGTTATAAGCCTCCACCTCTCACTACACTCTGACTTAACCACAAGCAGGCTTGAGTGTAAGGTCTCTTTCATGTCTAATCTCCATCTTGGTCCCTTCATGCATTCTAAAGGAGAAGGGTGTCGGATAAACCTGGTGAAAAATAACTCCACCCTCCGCTGTGTTGAGCCTTAAACGGCCTAGTACGGCCCTAATGATTTAAAGGACATGAAGTAGAAGCAGTGAGCCGTAAGTTCACACAATGGAAACTCAAAGAGACAGTGTAATTTGGACACAGACAGGTTCTCACTTTCCAAGAAGGACTGATAACCAACCCTGCAGCCTAATTTGCACCCAATGGAAACACCACATATCATGAGTTTTGCTGAATCTGTTTTGAGCCATTTCTGGCAAACATCAATATATTCTACAGACTGCAAGACAAAGGGAAACACCCACTTTCATTCTTCACAAGATTACAGTAGCCCCTTTGCAGAAAGGGCAGAGGTAAAAGGGGGTGTCTCTTCCTCAGTGTCTTCTTTTCTTCAAGACTGAGGAGTCATGAATCCACTCAGTTTCTCATCACAGCAGTGATCTGAGCTTTGATGTAAAATCAGCAGCCTTTCTATATCTTCTCGCATATGGTTTTATTGTATTCTCTTGGAATTTATTTAAGCTTTGCTTTTGAAGAAGACAAAAATACAGAACCCACAAATATTCTAATTCAAAATCGAGCTAAACTGATTAGATCTAGAGAACAAGACTCGGAGAAATACTGCGTCTAGTCACAGGTATGCCATTATAGGTTGTTCCTATAGGTTGCATCCATTACATTTCTTAAAATGAGTCAGTTCACTTTATATGCTTTGATGTGTGATCTGTTGTTCAAGACTTCTCATGCACATTAAATTTTTTTTCTTTTGAAGGTTGTCAGCCTTGTGATATTAATAGCTACACTGAACAGTAATTATAAGAAGTGGTGTTACCTCCGTAGAGATTTGATAGATGGGGCAGCAGGTGTCCTCTGGACGAAGTGGATGTATGATACAGATTGATAGTGTTCACCAACATGGGGAGATTTTAATTGCACCTGGTTTTAATTACTTCTTCAATCTGGAAGCCCTTCAGAGTTTTAAACAAGATTTGTAATTGCAGACATTTTCTCGTGCTGGGCATACAGTCATAGCCAAAACTATTGGCACCCCTGCATTTCTGTCAGATAACGAACCATTTCTTCCAGAAAATTATTGCTTTACAAATTCTCTGATATTCTCATGTTTGTTTATTTTGTTTGCACTAAAAACAGAAAGGCCAGATCTGATCCATTCCACACACAGCTCCAAAAGTGGACTGGTGAGAACTATTGACAAAACTAAACTTAATATTTGGTAGCATAACCTCTGGACAAAATAGCTGAAATTGATCACTTCTTGTAACCATCAGTGACTTTCTTCCACCTCTGCTGGAATTTTGGACCACTCTTTTGCCATCTGCTCCAGGTCTCACAGATTTGAAGGCTTCCTTCTCCCAGTTGCTGTTTTGAGATCTCTCCACAGGTGCTCTATGGGATTTAGATCTGGACTCATTGCTGCCCACTCCAAAATTTTCCAGTGCATTGTCAGAAACCATTTCTGGTGCTTTTTGAAGTCTGATTTGGGTCATTGCCTGTTGTAAGACCCATGACCTCTGACAGAGACTCAACTTTCTGACACTGGGCCCTACGTTGCAAGACATCCAGTGCCTGAAGCAGCAAACCAACCCAAAAACATCAGTGAACTACCACCATGTTTGACTGTAGGGAAGATGCTCTTTTCTTTGAAGGCCTCACTTTTTGTCTGAACACAGTAGAATCATGTGCTCTAGCAAAGAGCTCTATCTTAGTCTCACCTGTCCACAGGACATTCTCCCATATGGACTGTGGCTTCCTCAGGTAGTTTTTTTTGGTAAACTCCAGTCTGGCTTCTTTGTTTCTTTGTCAGCAGTGGGTCCTGAGTCTCCTATCATAGCGTCCCTTGTCATTCAGATTGCGCGAGCTCTGACTGCTGCACCCTGTGCCTGCAGGCCAACTTGAATTTGAAAGTTGATCAAGGTTCTTTATCCATTATTCAAACAATCCTCTGTTGCAATCTGTCATCTGTTTTTCTTTTTCTTCCATGTCCAGGGAGATTAGCCCCATTAGCCATGGCTGTAAACCTCTTGACAATGTTGAGCACAGTGGACACAAGAACAGCCAGATCTCTGGAGATGGACTTGTAGCATTGAGATTGTCCAGGCTTTTCCACTATCATGGTTCTCAAATCCTCAGACAAAAGTTAAGTCAACTCACAAGAATTTGTGATTTCAACAATTTTCTGGGAGAAGTGGTGCATTATCTGACAGAAATCCATTTATAACAGGTGATGAATCAGTGATGGGTTTGTGGTTATGTTCTGAACACATAGAGTGGACTGTTTATTGGACTGAATTTTGATGGGAGCCAAATGACTGCATCAATAACAGAATCGGCACCAATAAGACAAGAAGAGAGGAGTTTGTCATGTCCTGAAACATTTACAGCCAAGTGCCTCTAGATGACAGTGTTTAGTTACATACTGTGCAGCCTCTCCTCTTGGGTGACTAAATGTGGTGCTAACTACATCACCTTTTTTTCACTTCATTACAGTCATCAGAAAATGCACGGCTGGCTCTGGATTGGATCAGCATATATGAGTAGCTTCTGCTTCGCCCACCAAGCTCAGTATTTAGTTTTATTGCTTGGTTGTTTACACTGTTTGCTAGGCTCTTTGGTTTCTAGTTGCTTACATAATACTGTACCTTGGTTTGTCATGTGGGGACACATTTATTTAAGTACTTTAAATATCCTGAATACACATACTATGGACCCCAAGAAATCCCTAGCAGTCTCTAATTTTGTCTGAGTAAACACCTGCTGCATCAGACCAGATCATTATGATTACTAAACTGAAATGACTAGATGAAGGACATTTAAATGAGATAAGTGGGGCAAATTGCAAAAAAGTAAATAAAAACATGTTACTGAATGGTTTAAAATGCTTTATAAGATATGGAAATAAAGTGAACTAAAATCTCCTGCTGCTACTGTTTTCATTTCATTACTAGTCCTGCTGATATTAAAGATTAACAAGGAAACTAATCATAAAAGTCAGCAGCAGCATACTTATAAGAATTTACCAGCTGTTTTGGGAATATTTGACTAGTTGACCAGTCTGCTTGTCTCTGGAATAATGCCCACCATACAATAATGTTATCTCATGGAGGATAATCCCACCTCCATCTGGCCAGTCTGAGCCACAGTCTTGTCTGACCCAGCTAGCAGCTGATGATGAAACATCTGCCTTGCCAGAAAGGAAGACATGGAGAGAGACTAGGGATAGATGCAAAGAGCAGGAGAACTTACTTATGGCTGAGATAAGAAGGAAAAATAACCTGAAAACATTCTGTAATGAATTATGAATCTGGACAGAGCAGGTTAACCCAGTGCTGTATCACCCAATGCATTTGGTGAAGGTTGCAGTATAATTAGTTTTTTATGAAATATTTTTGTCTTTATAACTTGAGCTCATTCAGTAATCATGATCTTGTCACAGAATACCACATAATCTGACATCTATCTCTTTTTGAAATAAAGAACAAATAACAGGTCTTTACTAATTATTTTGCACAATGACACAGTCCATCCATCCATCCATTTTCCTCCGCTTATCCGGGACCGGGTTGCGGGGGCAGCAGTCTAAGCAAGCAGGGAAGACCCAGGACACGCTGGAGGGACTATGTCTCTCGGCTGGCCCGGGAGCGCCCCCGCATTTCTCAGGAGGGGCTCGGGTTTTAAGTGTCTGGAGAGAGAGAAGTCTGGGCATCTTTGCTTAGACTGCTGCCCCCGCGACCCGGTTCCGAATAAGCGGAGGAAAATGGATGGATGGATGAAATCAGAATAATTTTATAGATGTTCTCCACAAAGTAGCTTTAACCAAAACTGAATACTGTCCCTTCATAGTTTGTCTTGTAGATGTACCGTGATGTGTCTTATTTATTTTTTAAAAGGTGCGAAGGTGCCTGGGGTTTTAATTGGCAGGCAACAGCAGATGTAGCTGGACTGGATAACAGATGTGGCCTGTGTTTAATTTGAGATGTGCTCAAAAACCCTCACAGTAACCAGGCTCATCAGAATATTATCTTCAGTGAAGGAGCAGACGTGCGACAGGTGGAAATGTGACAATTGGTATTCAGCAACGCAGCGCCACCTTTAAATGCATCTGCAAAGCCAAAAGCACATGAATATTCACTGAGCAACTGTTAGCACAGCACTGAGTGTGATTGTCTCCTGCACTTCATTAGGCTAATTGTCTCCTCTCATGGCACTGCAGACTCTTCTAACAGTTGATTCAGAACTCGGTGAACTAACACAAATACTGCAAGGGATGATCAGCAGAGTCCAGCTGAGGGATATGAGTGGTGTGTGTTTATATATATGTACTTTTATGTGCATATTTGTGTGCACACAGTGAATCGTTTTGAGTAGCTTGACAATGTTTAAAAGATGTTGATATTATTGTAGGGTGTAAAATACGTAGAAGGATAACATTTCAGTTGGGCAACAATCAAATTGTGCAATTTTCTGAAAAACTACTCAGTTACGACATGTTCCTTCCACTTTGCCTTGGTCAGTAGCTTCTCCATAAATGTTCAGCAAGTGAAATGCTCTCATCTCTCCTCTGACCCCTGCCACTATCGTTGTGCTCCTCTGTTTACTTTTACCCATTACTCGTGTGGGCCAACACTGAATGATGACAACAGGCAATATGCACATGCGCAGAGATGTCAGATATTGAAAAAATTCCAATCTGACAAATATCGATTATGAATTTGATCTAGGAGCACATTTGGATGTGGCTGAGATGCAGTTTGAAAAAAGTCCTATTTGGTTTGTTCACACATCCCTAAAAAGATCAGATCCGAGTCACCTGGAGAGAAAAAAATTGGATTTGAGTCTCTTCAGTATGTAATGTGAATGTAGCTTATGATCGTGTCTCTACCAAAAAGAATTATAGAGGGAACATGAGCTATTAAACCCAACAGAGGAATAAAGAATAAGCCTGGGGGATGACAACGGAATACTGTAAGCACAGTCATTTGTAATGTTTTAATATATACAGTATTTTTGGCCCATAATAATTTTGCTTTCACATACAGTACAAAATGCTAAGAAATAGTGAACGACAATAGTCCTTCACCTATGTCAGTATTCTCTATTTCTGCTTTATAAAAGGATTTTTCTGTTCAGTTTAAGCAGTAAAATTGTGTGCAGCTTCAGATTAGAGCAGCTGCAAACATGTGTAACTCATCTGGTCTCACTGGGGGTGTTGATTCAAAACACCACCTTACTTACCACAGCAACCAAATAACAGCCTTCCATAGTTTTGCTGTCATTAAATCTTTATTTTATTTATGTGTTTATATATATAGCCCAAAGTGATAAATCACAAATTTGCCTCAAGGAGTTTAACAACCTCTAGAGCACTCAGCACCCTTTGCCCTTAAACCCTTCAAATAGATAAGGAAAATCCAGTAAAGTTAAAAACTTTGACATGAAGACAAATGGAACAAACCTCAGGAAGAGGGTTAGAGAGAAGGTTTTAGCAGAAATGTGACTCCTCATTTCTATGCCATCTGTTTGTCCCCTGAGTTTTACTCAGATGTGTATAGTACCTACATCACTGTTAGAGATAGAAGCTTCCTCATTGCAGTGAATCAAAAGAAAACAGAATGACATGAAAAATGTCAAAGCTGTTAAGTTAAAATGAGAGTTTTTAGCATTACAATGATTAAATATACAACCTTTAACACCCTTTAAGATATAATGGAATTTGTATTTCACATAAAACAGCATATTTTGTGAATGATTAA